GACCAGCCTTTAATCTGTTTTATTAACAGGCTTCATCATTCAGGCCTATCTTCCCTATTTTTTTAAAATCTTGAGTTAACTGATTATCAATTAACTTGAAGGCATTTTACTTTGTAAAGTCTAGTTTGAGCACTCCCCAAATGTTTGTTTCAGGTTACAAATGTTTGTAGTTTACCCTGGGGATCAGTCTAAGGATAGGTCTATACTAGAAATAGTGTCAGTTAAGCAGTATGATTTTTTGAGAAATTTCTAATATGGCAAGAGTTCTACCTGCAAACCAGTAGGCCTCATTTTAATTAAACTAGCCTTTAACAAAAAAGTTTGGAATCAGAAAACTTGTTATGCTATGTAAAGACAGTATCTTGTTAATATGCTGTACTGAAGTGAGATATGGCCGATAAAAAGTCTCCAGGCTGAGAAGCAATTACACACAGAGATCCTCATCTGCAGCATAACATGAAATTAGCATCTTCTCAGACAAAGATGATTCAGCTATTGAATGCACAGTTTTATATTGCCGATTGAAATTTCTAAAACTCTGAAGCTTTCAACTTGTGACTCAGGGGCTAGAACTTTTATGATAAGTTTAATGTAGGTCTAATCACATGCATGCCTTAAAGAGAGTGCTTTTCAAATGCACTGTTTTATCAATTGCTATAAATCAAATCTTCACCAACATGCACAAATGTATTAATATATGTGGAATGTCTACCCTCTTTAAGTTTGGAAGACAATCCAGTCACCCTCCCTCCTTACAAACAATAATGTCATTAGTTAGAATTAATAAGTACTGGTTGTGATTCAGCCTCCTAATACCAAGATTGATCCATGGGTTATATTATAACTTGTTAAAGTTCATTAATCATCAGAGATAATCAGTAAAAAATGTTTAATTACCACAGCTTGTTAGATGTGCTTAAGGTTATTGCACTGCTCATAGCATCTACTTGTGAAAACAACTTACCTGATATTTATTTTATAAGATAATTTTATTTTGTTTTCTGAATTGCATGTTATATCTTAGCAGCTTTTACCTTTTAAGAGGACTGCTGAGGCGCAGGACTTTAGCCACTTTCCCTGGTAACAATATAGAAAAGGGAACAACTATAAATAAAATGTCTTTCAATATTTTTATGAAATTGATTAAACCTTGTTATGGGTTGAGTTAAACCTCACTGGAATTGATGTGTTAACATGTACTTCACTGACAATAAGTGTAAGAGTTAATTAAGGGGCCACACCTAAAACAATGTTTAATGGAATCTGCCTGGAAACTAGCACCATGTATATGGAGGATTCCACTCAGTATCATTCTGACCAGATGGGATGTGAAACCTCTCTGGTGGGGTGCAGGGACAAGAAACAGAGAAACGGAGGCCATGTCTACACTACTACTTATGTTGGCAAAACATTTCACTCAGGGATGTTAAAGCGCATGCGCACCCACCCACCCAAAAATGATGTAAGATTAACCAGCATGGGTTGCCAGGTATCCACTATTGAGCTGGACAGCCTAGTATTTGCGCCTTCTGTCTGGTTAAAAAATTCAGAAAATACCGGACATGTAAAATGTCCAGTATTTTCTGTTTTTCCCGGCTTAGGTGTCAGACGGAAGGGCAGTTGGGACAGGTGGCGCAGTTCAGGCTGGTTGGGGGAGGATGGAGCGGGCCAGGAATTAAAACGGCCACGACTATTTTGGCCCCAGTCAGTTCCTTCTACACCACTCCCGCCAACAACTTTTGCTGGTTTTTTTTGGCTCAACAACTTTATCTGTTTTTTTCTTCTCAACAGAATTTTTTCCCCCTTTTTTTGGGGGGGGGAGTTCGGTATTTTTTGTTAAACCATCTGGCACCCTTAACAAGCACGTGTGTGCACAGTGCTGACGCTCATTTATGGTGCAGCTACAGGGCTTAACTCAAAATGAGCTACGCAAATTGAGCTACGTCAATTGCGTAGCTTATTTCGAAATTGGGAGCGTCTACACAGCACTTATTTTGCAAAAGAGCACTCTTCCTCTAGCTTCCTTTGCTCCTCATACAATGAGGGTTACAGGAGTCGGAGTAAGAAGCCCTCCAGGTTGACAGTATTTTGACATTATTTTGAAATAACTGCCTGCTGTATAGACATGGATTAAGTTATTTCAAAATAATGTTGCTGTATAGATGTACCCTTAGGTGGTTTTACTACTTCTAGAGGAGAGTGCTCTCCCTTTGGTATACAGCAGCTACATGAGCAATCTTCAAGGGGTGCAGCTGCATCAGTACCACTATGCCACGTAATTAGTACAGACGTGGCCTCAGGGACAGCAAGAAAGCCAATAAGGACCCTGTAAGCTTCTGGATCTGGTGCTGAATAAAAAGGCACAGGACATTAATCAAAGAAGTTATCCCAGATTTGCCTCCTGTAGCCAGAAAAGCAGAACTTTGTACATTCCTTGTAAACAAACAAGACTGCACCAAAGAAAATACAAGAATCCATCATTGATTTCTACTCCCTGCTAGAGCATCCATAGTGCCCTCAACTTTGATTAGCCACTAAAGTTGTAGGGGCAGCAGTACTCACCTAGCACTGCCCTAGCAGACGTCTAGCAATTAGACCAGTGACTACAAATTACGATACAACCGACTTGCTATGAAACTTATTCATTTGTTTTTTGAATTTACTCTATTTTATATCTACTTAGCAATCTCATGGGATTAACGAAAGTATTCACATCGGAAAATATTTAGCAAGATAAAAACTGAGCTATTAGAAAGACAAACAGCTTCTGTACTTCCCAATATTAGCTAAAATTTCCTTTCACTTACATGGTTAGGTTTATCTGACTGCAATTTCAGGGGATGAAATTGGAGTCAGTGACTGGAGGAACTATTTTCATTTCCTCAACTAACAGTTTATTGCCAACAGAATAGTTGAAATAGAAAAGGGCTTTTCAAAAAAATATCAGGAATGCATTTCAGTCACTAAAAAGAGCCCTTATTGACCCTCTTGTAAGAAAAGTGAACTATTGAATCCTACCTTACAGGTCTATATCAGCTTATCGATTCTTCCAAATTTCTGAGAAGCACCTTTTAAGAGCAGCCAAAAAAAGTTCATACCACGTTAGGAATGCCATACAGATTCAAAATGCAGGACAATGTAGCACTTTAAAGACTAACAAGATGGTTTATTAGATGATGAGCTTTCGTGGGCCAGACCCACTTCCTCAGATCAAATAGTGGAAGAAAGTAGTCACAACCATATATACCAAAGGATACAATTAAAAAAAAGAACAAATATGAAAAGGACAAATCACATTGCAGAACAGAAGGAGGAGGCGGGGGGGTGGGAAGGGGGAGGAAGGAAGGTAAGTGTCTGTGAATTGATGATATTAGAGGTAGGGAGAGTGGGATGTTTGTGAGTTAATGGTATTACAGGTGATAATTGGGGAAACTGTCTTGATAATGGGTGAGAAAGTTCAAAGACTTGTTAAGTCCCTGGTGGTAAGTGTCGAATTTTAACATGAATGACAGTTCAGAGGATTCCCTTTCAAGTGCAGATGTAAAAGGTCTTTGTAGCAGAATGCAGGTGGCTAAGTCATTTAGAGAGTGTCCTTTCTGGTTAAAGTGGCAAGAAACTGTTTTCTCTTTGTGATCTTGTCTGATATAGATTCAAGACTTTTTTACATTATAAGCTAGCACAGACTTTTGTTTGCTGAATGTCATATTTATTTCCAGGCTTCAACCCAGAGATATTTTACAAACATTGTGAATTATAGTTCCTTAAACCATTACCATTAATGACTAGAGCCATGAGCTCTTCTGGGACAATGCCAGAGTCACAGAGAGGGAAATGTTTTCTGTGCATGAGCTTCACCCCATGTGGAAGATGTGAGAGACTAAGGCCCTGCTCATTTATGTTTGCCAGGCAGGACAACCCCACTGCCCTGGGTGATTCAGTCAATTAGGCAGAGGGTGTAAGGCAGAAAACAGTAGGGAAGATAGGTCAAACATAGCAATCAAACTGGTTGTGCGAAAGAGGCCAGATGAACTGGACAAATGACTACTATGAGGAGGAAGTAGAAGGAGCTGCAGGTTTGAGTGGGACAACAAGGGCCAGGAAGGAGTATCAGGAAATGTGAGTGGGGAAAAACAAGGTGGAAAAAATCCCAACCAGTTCTAAGGGTGGAGGAACGCCAGGACTGAGTCGCTGCTGTTGTTTGGTAAAGTGAATGGACAAAGAAAAGCTACATACCTCAACTATTGCCCCCACCCACCGTGCAGCACTCTGAATTCCTCCTGAAATGTACTCTGAGCTTGGCCACCAGAATAGATACAGAGAAGGTTCCACAGCGCCTATCCTGCAGCACACCAACCCATTTTCTCCAGCTCAGGCTTAGAAATATTCTCATAACTTGGAAAGAAAGGGAATTTCACACCTCTACAGTGGAAGTAACAAGGTGCAGCAACAGATCTACCTCTCAAGTTCATAGACTCATAGACTTTAAGGACAGAAGGGACCATTGTGATCATCTAGTCTGACCCCCTGCACAGTACAGGCCACAGAATCTCACCCACCCCTCCTAGAATAATCCTCTCACCTATATCTCAGATATTGAAGCCTTCAAATACTTTGAAGACCCCAAGATGCAGAGAACTTCCCTTCTGGATTTTCCGTTGTGTAATACCTTTTTGCAAAAGCAAAGGGTTTCAACAGCAGTTAGCCTACAGAACAAAAAAGATCTAACTTATTTCTTCGGGTGTATCGATAAGTCACTTAAGATTAATATTAATTGATATACACATTAAATAATTAACAGAACACAAGGCAAACTAATTATTTAATTAATACAATTCGATTATTAGATAGCATGGCTTCTTTACTTGGTTTTCCAGTAATAATCGGATACTGATATGAAATGCAAATATTATTTTGAAATCCACTGAAATGTTATCTTTAGTTGTTTAATGCACACAGTGTAGATATGACAGTTTTTTCTTGCTCCCTTTCTCTGCCCCTAGTTTTATACATCATGAGTGGAATAACTATGCTTACACAGTAATATGCTGGAAGATTGTGCAATTATATATAAATTCTTAATCAGCGTGGAAAAGAAATTAATGGACGTTATATGCCCGACATGTACCTTAAGCTATCAGAAGACTGTATTGATGTGTATAATGAATGAAGCAACACAGGATTTTGCCTGGAGTCCTACAGGATAATCACATTAAATCAACATTTAACAGTTTATTTCAGTAAGTTAAATGTTTTCAAAACAAATTTAAGTTGTTATTAAACCAGTTCAGTTACAATATCTATTCACTATTCACAAATGTTTGTTATTGTAGAATGCATCTGCAAATAAATGCAACAATACAAGACAAATTTCAGTGTTTCTAATACTTCAATTTTTACTTTTTAAGCCTATTCATGTAGGAGAAAAGGAAGGAAGAAGAGAACAGTCCAGGAAGTGTGAAAATCATACAACTCACCAAAAACCTGAATATTACCAATAAGGTGTAGTAAAGCAAAAGCATTTTCAAATCTAAATCTAAGCTGTATCACCACCACTTTATATTTCTGCTCTGATCATCAACACTGCAGTGTATTAACTTCTTTCATAGAAGATATCCATACAAGTGTTTTATTTTATAAATGTTCCCTGTCATTCTACTTCTTTGAGGGTAAATATTGAGGGCTTTCTAGGAGTGCCAAGAGCATTTGATACAAAAGCTGCTTTTAATCATGGGGCTTCAACAGAGATGTGGTGGAGAATTGCAGGCTACTCAATGTTTCCTGTCTTACCTTCTTCTGTGGAGATTCTGCAGATGAAGAAATGCACAGAATCACTGTTGTCAAGCACTCGGCCTTATGTAGATCAAGAGGCCATGTCTTGGCAGAGGCCTTTGCTTCAAAGGTGGCATGGGCATGTTTTGATGGGGCAGGTCCAGTAGCCTACACTGACATAGGCTGACAGGAAAGAGATAAAGGACAAAAACAGCCTATCATCTGTGGGTTAACACCTTTCATGAAGTAATCACTTTATATCTGACCTATAAGTCCTCATCCTCAAAAGAAACCAGCACAACACTTTCAAAAGACAAGACTGAGATCCTAACTTCACAACTCTGCTAGACACGAAAAATCATGGACTAAACTGACACACTGGACATATGGCTTATTTCAACAATCTGTAACCCATTAGTTGCTTTGTGTCCTGTGGCTACTGCGGTGTTAACAAGTCACTCTACCCAGAATGGTCTTTAACAAGATTTGCTAACTATTTATGCTAACAATTTGTTCCACCTTGGCTGTGATACTCAGTGTTCCTTTGCCAGACCTGAAGAACAGCTCTACGTGGCTCAAAGGCTTCTCTCTCTCAAACAGAAGTTGGTAAAACATTATCTCATCCATTTTGTCTGTATATTTGAAACAGAGTTTCTGTGTAAAGTGAATATGCTGCAAGAACTTGCTTCCTAGAAGAGAACTCGCTTCCTAGAAGAAGAGTATGTATGATCTCCTTTACCTATGGTGCTGTTTTGTCTTTAGACAATAAATCTGGCTAAGTATGGTTATTTGGTCTCCTGAACATTTTAAAGAATGAACTATGAGTGTAGTCAAATAATAGACCACACATCTAAGTCAGTAGGTGCCATTTTTTGTTACCAGTGAATTTTTTCTCCCAATTGCCTACTTATATTTAAGATGCACTTAATTCTGGCTTTCCAAAGTCACCATTTCACCAAAGACCATCCCTGATGTCCTCTTGAGCACTGACCCATTAGCTGGTTCATGATGGTCAGCACATTGTTCTTTTAATGCACTTGAAGTAGCCATGTAAAATGCATGTACGTACTGAAGGAGTAAAAGTGTTAGAAATGGGTCTGTGTGTTTTTTTACACATTCGGAGAGAGAAAAATATGGCGGAGAACCCCACTTAGTTTTCAGATGTCAAAGGCATATCTGGTACAAATTTCCACAAATTAATTTAAGTTGGTTACAACTCCCTGTGCAAGAATACAATTAATAAACACAGGAATAAACCTTGCCACGCAATTTGTGCTAGTGCTCACTCTAATTTCCCAGACAGCCACAGCCTCATTACCTCCAGATTTGTGCATCTCATTATGATGCTGACACTGGCATTTGTGTAATTAGTGCTGAAATTACAGATTCATCCTCATTTAGTGTGGTCTTTATTGCTGTTAATTAGGCAACGAAATGTGAAAACTGTTACGACATTTTAATTATCTGAATGCAAAGAGATTTTTATACCAAAAAAAAAAAAAAAAAAAAAAAAGGGAGTAACCACTTCCTGGAAACATTTGTTGGTTCCAATAGAAGCAACTGATTAACAAAAGCCTGATTTGCTGTGCCATTTGCTAAATAGTTAAGATGACAATATTTTCACTCGTCCTCGCTGCACTGTCAAGTTGCTAGTTTTATTTTCTGTAAGTTAGCAGACTAATTAAGTGTGGCATAATTATTTTTTTTAAAAAAGGAAACTGGGCAATTAATTCAATGTGATACTTTATAGCAAGTTTCCCGATATTATCAAAATTGCTCTATCTGCAAACAGCTAAATGTTCATGTTGATGCAATATCACTATGAAAAAGTGAATGTGGATAGGTGAATGGCTTCAACTATGGGAATTTATTTCCATGTAATTTATGAATTAATAGGAAAAGGAGAGTTGATTAACTTGTTCAGTAATAGGACTTTTTTCCAATGCATCCCCCTATGATGTTCTATGTCCACAGTGTCTCTGCTACTCAGCTTTTCCTGCCCTTCCCTTTTTCTGGCTGTTCCACCTGGAACAGCCAGAAAAAGGGAGGCAGTCCACCTCAGTGAGGCTGGCTGCGGACGAGAAAGGACATGCACTGCAGGTGGCAGAACCAGGAAACCCAGACTACGCTGCAGAAAACCTGTCTACTGTGGAGTCTGATGGGAAAGCCAAGTTACCACTAGTCGAGGAAGTACCTAGGATGCAATATATGGTAGAAAGTGACCCCGAGAAGATAGCTGAGGCTGATGCCTGAACTCCTAACCCTAACCCCTAACCCTAACAAAGTCGGTGTGCCTGGGTTCCCTATGATACCCCACAGATCACCAGGCACAGCTGCTATCTGCTTGCTGCTCCAGCTGGAAGGCTCCATGGCCCCCGACTGTTTGTTTTATCCTGCCCTACTTTGCTCTGCATAGAGAGCTGATTCCCCAAGTACTACTGCCTGCCGGGCCAGAAGGCTGCAAGGCACCAGACTCTTTTGCCTGTCCAGGAGCTACAGACTGTTCATTTGTGTGAGAGAACCCAGTTGACCACAATTACCCACTTAACAGGGAATCCCAATGAAGGGCTGTACCAAACCTACACTAGACCAATGGGGCCAACCCAGTTCGATATGCTGGGCCTATCACAGTTACTCTCACCAATAGGCAGCAAGCACCATGCATGCGGAAATCCAGAAGTTAAGGTCTCCAGAGTAACATTAATTCAGATTCGTTTGTGTTATATTTTACCATGTACACCGTACTGCATTCTTGATAGTATAGTGCTAATAACTAAGCTACCTGACATTTAAAATCCCTGCCAACCTTAATCCACATAGACTAAGCAGCAGGAAAATATCTATTCTATACCTGCAGAATATGAAAAGCTCAGAATTTTCTGGGAAATTTCAGCAGTGTTTTGTATTAGGCGGATAAAATAATCTCAGTCCTTTTTCAGCACAGAATCTAATCACTTACACTGAATGCAGAGTAGACAGGAAGACCTACTTCAGTTTTAATTAAAAATACAAAGCAATTGCTTGAATATTTGGTTTAAACTTACACTGGGCATTTCTAAAACTAAAAAAAATTACTAGAAATCCTATTTAAGAAAAAAAGAATTCCTCTTACTCTTGATGCAAGAGGTACAATTTCCTAGTATAGTTCTGATGTTTTAAAATATCACTTGTCCTATTCAAACGGTGGGGGGGTTAGTTTGTAAGTTTAAAAAACTAAATCCCACAGAATTCACTCTGCAGAGCATGAAATCCCCAGCAAGATAGAGTATCATATTTCAGGTCTGTAGTTTTATTTACTCCTTCTGGCTTGCTGTGCAGCATATTGCTGCAGGCACCGGCTGTCATAATGCCTAACAAGATTCTTTTTTAGAGTACAATTCTGCCCTAGTGGAAGCTGCATATGAACACATGCAGACAGAATCTGGCCATGAAACCTGATTTCTCAGCCATACACAACTCTGAGACAGACTCTCTCCTCCTTTGGGTACCATACATAAACACATGCATCTTCCTCAATTATACTTGGAAGTAGGATTACTTGGAAGACATATTGACTGAAGTGAGTATTTGCAGTGAAAACTTTAATGACTACACACTGAGGAAGACTTCTAGTACTGGCTGCCTAATAGGAAAGGTGCTAGACAGTCTGGGGAAAACACAAGTTGCTAGATAGCTTCTCAGAGCCCTGCTAATGGGCTATTTAAATCTATGGATCATCATCACACAAAAGAACAGTGTAAAAGTACATTTACCTCTTGTCCACTCTGGATAGAACACAGAGAAAAACTTACTTATCTCCAGTACTGAAACCGTCACATGTGGTATACCACAAAAAAACAGGAAGGCAGCAAGAATTTTCAGGAAATCCACATGCAGTGCCTAACACACCTTTTTGCCAATACTCAATGGCCAGCCCGTTATTCGAAATAATGAACTTGATAGTGTGGATGCATCACTTATTATTTTGAAATAAAGGGGATTATTTCAAAATAACTCCCTAGTGTAGACCAGAGCTAAGAGTAAGAAGCACTTACTCCTGACATTACCATGTAAGGCAGGGGTTCTCAGACTTTCTGATACCGCGACCCCCTTCTAAGTTGCTCGCAACTTCCCTCCAAGTTGCTCGCAACCCCCCGGGGGACCCACAGTTTGAGAAACACAGATATAAGGTGTTGCATATGCATATTTATATCACAGCAAATATATAAATAGCCAATATGAAGCCATTTTCCTCTTTTGTGAACTATGAAAAAACTAGCAAAATAGGAACGATTTGTCTTTTACTTTCTAGAGTCCTCTATTGTTCTCAAGTCTCGTTTTTTATATCATTTAGTCATGGAATCTATCCTTTAAGTCAAATGAAAAGATGACATGGAGACAGAATATTACTGCGTGTATTCTTAATAGACTTTCCTTCTTCCTCTGACTCCCCTAATAACAATATTGGTTCATAATCTGCTTACTTGGCACAAATCTTTAGTTCTCTTTTTTTCTGTTTCAGTGCAGAAGCAGTAATGCAGTATCATTTGGGAACAGAAATGTGGCACTAACATAG